AAAGGTCAGAGGAGAATTTAAATCAGATCTATGCAACGGGAAAACCTAGGAACAGATGTGTCTGCTTTTGTGTTATGTTCTGACCTGGCTTAATTATATCTATTTGACCCAGTTCAATTAGATTCCATCACCAACTTCAAAAAGAATATTCAACACTCAGAGGAGAGGTGCCACATTCATTTATGCTGTTACTAGGAGCTGCTCAGCTTTCCCTCCTGCCCCCACCCCCTTCCTCCTTAACTCTTTATACTCCAGCCTCTGAACACAAAGCAACAGATCTGGACTCTGCCCTCCCAGTGGCCGCTGGTGACTGGGCAGCTCAAAGCCCAATTCCTCATCCCCTTTTCAAGCTTTATCTTTTCTGATAGCTCTACAGTGTTGAATCTGCTTACATTCCCTCCTCCTTGAGCCTCTGGGCTCTCCTGCCTGCCTGAATTCGGCCTGCTCTACTCTGTGCCCGAAAGCAACCAGCATCAGTCACTGAAGTTCATTTGGTGCTCAGGCCTTCATGCCTGACAAGGGCTGAATGTTGCCTCATGGAAGTGAGTGGAGCTCAAGCCTGCCCTCAGGAATCTCTCTCTAGCAAAGTGTCCTTCCTCTACAACGTAGCCTCTCTCCTGGATCCTCTGACAGCTCAAGCCCCCTCTAAGTGTTAGCATGCCTAACGTTGCCAGCTGTCAGCTCTGTCTAAGCTCTGGTTTTCCCTCGGGATGTTGGCTACTCTCTTTGGAGATGAGCTTTGATTCTGGACATTCAGCCCTGAGCTTCTTAGCTTTGCCAAGCTGCCTCTGCCGAACCCAAGCCAGGCTTTCATTTCAGTTCCCATTTCATTCCAACAAGCATTTGGTGCTCTGTCTAAATCAAACCTCTTGCTGTTTTTCAGACATGCCCTTCCTATTCCAGTCTCTGCTTTTAATCATACCGTTTCCATCTGTTGGAAAACTCTCCCCATCTGTACTGTAGAAAAACTACTCATTCTTTAAAGCCTTTTCCAAATGCCACCTCTTGCAAGAAGACCTCTCTGATTTCTTCACAGCCTTCTACATCCAGAAATCTGATGTATTACATATACTTTCTCCTCTTCACTTTCATGCCATACCATGCTTCCCTGAGTCATTGATCTTATTTTGTCTCCGACTGTGTGCCTGTACTGTCCTCCACTCTAGTATGAGTCTCCATAAGGCAATGAGTGTTCTCATCTAGCTCTGCCCCCCTGATGCTGCATGGGGTATGTACCTGGCCGTGACCCTACTCAACATACCGTGACTGGATGGAGCTGAAATCTGCACAACAGCAGCCCACTTTCCCGATCCTTTTAGCCCACCAGCAATCTTTCTGGAAGGCCATCTTTAGAAAACAGAGTTTTTAGGATCAAGAAATCAAAATTAACCCTATGATATGTCTTAGTTTGCAGAAAATAAAACTTCCTTCTCTAGCCAGGGAGAAAATAATAGCTGTGGTCCTTCTAGGAACTTTCTGGTGCTGAGCCCCTTCAGGGAAGCAAAGTAGTAGAAAGAGGACAGACAAAAACACCCATATCCCTTCATCAATCCTATGTGACTTCAACTCAATTATTTATCTTTCAGAATCTCAGTGGAAAAAGGTGATCTCTCCTTAGCATTGATGAGGAAATAAACAGAATTTTAATATATACATTTATTAAAATTTATCATTATTATCACAATTATTGTTATTTAGAGACAGAGTCTCACTCTGTCTCCCAAGCTAGAATTCAGTGGCATGGTCACAGCTCACTGCAAACTCAAACTCCCTGACTCAACCAGTCCTCCCACCTCCACCTCACCAATAGTTGAGACTAGAGGCATGGACCATCACACCTCAATGATTTTTTTTTTCAGTTTTTTATAGATGGAGTCTTGCCATGTTGCCCAGAATGGTCTTAAAATTTGGGGCTCAGGTGATCCTTCTCTCTCTGCCTTAAGAGTCTCTCAGTTTACAAGTGTAAGCCACCAGAAAATATAAAACTATAAATTTACAAAAATTTTCTTGGCAATTTTTAACATCCTTATTTTAAAAGTATAGTTTTATACTTTCCTTAAATAGTACAGGCCTAGTAATGAACCACAAGACATGTGAATTAAGTCTTCACTTCTTCCTCTAGAAGAAATTATATTAACAAATGAAGTTTTTATACCATGAACTAGCATCAAAAGTCAAGATTTCTAAGTGATTCATTTAGCCACTATGACCTATCTTTAAGTAAAATGTTAGGAAAATGTCCAAAGTACAAGACTGAGCAGAGGCGACTGTTGGGGTAGTGAAGGGGAGAGGAGCAGGGCCCCTCAGCCCTGACCACTGCAGTGGGTGGGGATGACACCCCTAAGCCATTGCCTCAGAAATCTGTGCTCTGGAGAACCCTGGTAGAAAACTACCATTTTAAAGCCCCTCAAATTTTATTTTTATAACTTTAAAGGCTTTTAAGATTAGACCCAAGCAAGAGTTTCTCTGCGAAGCATGGAAAGCCATAGATCCAACAGGCAGGCAGGTGGCATCTCTGAGCTCTGGGGGGCGCAGGTGAGCACGAACAGGTGCCAGCAGGATTCAGGGCCTCCAAAAAGAACGAGCATGTAACTTTTATAGTAAGGTGACCAGATATCCCGCTTTTCGTGAGACAGTCCCAATTTTTAACAATTTGTCCTGTGGCGTTTTTAAAAAGTCCCAATTTTTGGAAAGAACGCGGGACAAGCTAGGGAATGGCTGGAAAACAGAAAGGGAATATATGGTTTTTGGCTGCTGAAAAGGTTAATGTAACTCCATTTGGGAATGAAGAGGTTAATGTAACTCCATTTAGAAATGAAAAGGCTAATGTAAACTCCCTACTCCCCTCCTGGGCAAGGTCGCCCAGGTGGACCCTTTGAGCCACAGGCGCCGCCCTATACATATTTTTTTAATGTATTAATTTGTAAATTGTACTTATGTTGAAATTTTAAAAATATATATTACAATACTATTTTTGCATTCTATGAAAATTTTTGTTGCTCCATATAGATCAAATTTTTAAATTTTTAATTAAGAAACTCTCCCCCCCTTGTCACTGGTGTCCTGCTTTACCAATGTTAAAATCTGGTCACCTTACTTTATAGGTGCTATAAATCCCCACAGTTGTGAACCAAGGGAGTGATATACCACTAGTTTAGCCTTTGTACATGGTGAAGGCAACAAATTAAAATACATGAGAAAGGAAAGAGAAGGGAGCAATGAAGAACCCAACTGGCAAAATAAGGGTGTTAAGACTACAGAGAATTTATTTCATTAAGATTGTTACAACTTACTAATAAATCCTTATTTTGACAATATATAAAAAACACATATATATTATAACAATTATATGCATATGTATACCTACATACTAGAGTAGCAAAAGGAGAACCAAATATAAACTATTTAAAAAGTCCATTCCTTTTGAAATATCAAATCAAACTGGCTATCGCTACACACCCAAATCTAGCCCAACCAAGCCAAGCCAAACAACAGCAGCACAGCCCGTGAGTTAAATCAGAAGGAACACCTCTTTCACTGAACATAATCTAGATTGAACTTTTTTCAGAACATACAGCACATTTTTACTTTTCAAGTAGCTATTTTAAAAACAGCTGACACATGGGCGGTGCCTGTGGCTCAAAGGAGTAGGGCGCCGGCCCCATATGCTGGAGGTGGCAGGTTCAAACCCAGCCCCAGCCAAAAACTACAAAAACAAACAAACAAACAACAACAACAACAACAACAAGAACCCAACCAGCTGACACTAAAAAGATACATCTAGGGAACTGTCATTTTTCATTCTAGGACATCTTGGAAGAGTCTCCTAGCATTTACTTACAGATCTCTGTTAGAAGCAAACCTCTATTAGAATCTCTATATAAGGAAGTTCCAACTATTTTTTTAATATTGGTAAAAATACTTGAACAATTAAAGTTGAGAGCAGATTAAAGGGTGTAACAAGTGGTGTACACAGGGTAAAAAAAAAAAGATATGTAACTCTGCTTGTTATAACGGCATTATATTAAAAAGGGGAAGATGGCTTGGCGCCTATACTCAGTGGGCAGGGCACTGGCCACATACACTCAGGCTGGGGGTTCGAATCCAGCTTGGCCCAGCAAAAACAACAATGACAACTGCAACAAAAAATAGCCAGGCATTGTGGCAGGTGCCTATAATCCCAGCTACTGGGAGGCTGAGAGGCAAGAGAATCGCTTAAGCCCAACAGTTTGAGGGTGCTGTGAGCTGTAACACCACAGTACTCTACCAAGAGTGACAGTGAGACTCTGTTTCAAAATAAATAAATAAATAAAAATAAAAAGGGAAAGATACAAAAGGGAAGATGGAAACATAAGCTTAGTTTGATTAAACATGAATGCACCACACTTATTTGTAAATACATTTCATCAATACATAAGAAATAATTTATGGGTTTATTCAGCCATGATTTTTCAGCCATTTTACCTGAAAAAAAGTTATTTTTTTTGATAAAAGAAACGACCTCTTGGATAAAAGGCGTATATCTCAAAATCCTGAAATGTTTCATACAATCAAATACAAAGGATAAATGGAAATAACTAAAAAAAACTCAGTAAGTTAATTTCTGGTATTGATCTTTTTTTTCTTTCATATCTAGTGACATGGGTTTTATAGCAATATGTATAAATTACTTTCCTTATAATTTTCTTTTGCAATATAAAAGAATAATTCATAAAAGTTCCTAAAGAAACATTCATGGTAATTTATGCTAAGCCTACAAAAGCTCGTCACTTATGAAGCCAACAAAACACACAGCTACGTTAAAATGATTTTCCACTGTGTTTCTAAAACAATAGATAAAGAAAGAAGGAAAATGACATTAGAAATCATCTCAGAAAGAAGCACACGGGGACATTTGGACATGGTTTAAATATTATATGGAAGCTTCTTAACTTCCTTACCACTTAGCTATAAAGAATGTGAAAAGTTTTCATTATTATGTTACAATTTTTGGCACTTACTTTCAAAATCCAGGAAAAAATGTGGATAGTTTTCAATTTCTCTGGTAAGAACTTTGAGCAGGTTTCCCATCCCAGCAAACCTAGAAAAGGCAACACAGAACCAAATGTCATCAGCAAAATGAAAAATGGGTTTGCGTGAACACCACTGAGATCCCCATAGCTACCTCTGAGGACCAGAAAGAAAGCAGCTTCATCCCAGAGATAAGTGACAACACAGCCACTCATTTCTGAATGTGTGGTAAGTATCTCTGAGGCCTTGGGTCTCTAAACCGTAGGGACATCTGGCCTACACCATACAAAGTATGACAACGATTAAAATGTCATAAGCTTCCCATTGATGTACAACTTATGTCTGAGAACAAGTACAATCAAGTGGGCATTATTAAAGTATCTGTCTAGCAAGGTAAGTTTCTTAAAGCTCATGAGAACAGAGTTCAGACAACACGGATTTATAGTTGCGGGGATGCCTCTTCACAGGGAGAAGATTTCTCAGAGGTTTAGCTCATAGGCAAGGTAGTGGCTCTCATAATTGAGCATTCCAACAGTAATGAGATAGGGTCCTTCCAAAAGTTACTCTCAATGAAACTGCTGCTTAAGACATTTGCAAATGTGTGTCAGATCAAATGAAAATACAAATTTGCTGCCTACATGTAGTCTCAACCTAAAAAAAAAAAAAAAGAAAGAAAAGAATAGCTAAAATGTAGCAATTTTTAAAGTAAACAGCAAAATTTCTATGGCTCTTAGCTCTAGACAGGAAACTATCTTCTTGGAGAGGTCACTCATCTACTCATTCATTCAACACTTATTTGTGGAACAGCAGTTTTATACATCGGGCACTGTGCTTTTGGAAAGATGTTTCTCTAACTTGGCACTAAGTGAACTCTCGTGACTCAGAGCGTCAAGGACAATTTGAAACCACTGCACCAGTGCAAGGGAACTGCAGGGCTGCAATAGTCTATGCACATAGCTTCCAACAGTGCTTATGTTGATACAGTGAATTTCTTTAAAAAAAAAATGCACCACTCTGAGAAAGATGTGGTGAAAGAAAAATGCACCAAAAGGATGATTCTGTACATCAGAATATATAGCGAGTGGCGGCCCCTGGTCTCCCCATCCTGCTCCACATACTCCTACATCTGCAGATATGCTGCCTGGTACGACTTGCTAATGGAAAACCAAAGAGGCTGGGCTTAAAGAGTCTATCTGGTGTCAGACTTCCTGGGTGCAATCCCAGCTGTTTCCCGCTACATGTTATCCAGGGCAAGCAGCTTCATCTCTGTAAGTCTCAGTTTCCTCACCTGGAAAATGAACTTCTATCTGTTTCATCAAGTTATGACAGTGAGAGAAAAATGTAAAATTCTTAGCATAGTATTTTCAAGAAGAGTTGTGAAATGTTCCATGCTCATACTATTGATGGCGGTATTGATGGTTACTCCTACCACCATCATCATCACGGTTATCCTGACAGCTTCAAATACTCACTTAAGACTAGCTTTTGGAAGATGGATTACATTTTAGGACCGATGGAGAAGTAACAAAGAAACATTTTCTAACCCCTGGAGTTGCCTGAATAGGGAGTGGTTTGCTTGGAGAAGTAACAAAGAAACATTTTCTAACCCCTGGAGTTGCCTGAATAGGGAGTGGTTTGCTTTGTGAAATAGTGAGCTTTCTCTCACTGATGATTTCCAAGTAGAAATGTGCTATGTTAGTACTTAGCAAAGTCATAAAAATTAGTTATGTGTTGGGAAGAAGGGTGGACTAAGACTCCTATGATGTGTCCCACTTTGGGGTGTATGAATATTTTTAGATACACACACACACAATACACACACCCATAATAAGGGGATGCAAACACCATATTTTTTATCTTCCAAAAGAATCTTCTCTATCCCTTTTGTCACTGTTTTCCTTTTCCCTTTATGCACATTTCCTTTTAAGACTTATTTCTGAGTAAAGCCCTGTGTGAGGTTATGTCCTGTCAAATTAAACCTCAGACCTGGTATAATCCACTCCTGCCACAGGGCAGCATTCACACACCCTCTTGGGTCTCTGGGCAAGAATCTGTTTCCAGCTGAATGAACAAGTCCAGCTTCCACCTGGAGGCACTTCTTGTAAGAAGATGATTATACTGTTTAGTAGCAGTCCTGACTTTTCATGCAAAGTGCCTTAATGTAAATTAAATATTCTTAATTTTTGTGGTTTTGTGCTATGAATAGGTCACAATAGACCTACATGGATTTAGCTTCATCCTAAAATTCAGTCTTGTGTAGGATTTTACTGATGGAGTGCTCGGGTGAAAAATACGCCAAGCCTTTGAAATTCATAATAGACTAAAACAAACATA